CATTGCTAACAGCGGAGCTATCTCAGCCGACAGGCTGCTTGTCTACCTCCATGGTAGTGTTTGCCAAAATAAAAAAATACAGGTTTAATCTGTGTGCCTATTGCAACGTTCACACGACAGCATTTTATCGGAGCAAAAATGGCCGTGTAAACGCGTTCGGCTCCACTAAACCCTCGGGGTTGAACTCCGAATGGGTTGAGTCCCGACATGGCTCCGATCGTGTAAACGCATCGGGGCCCAACTATCGGAGCCGAAATCACGACCTCAATCGTCTTCTTTGAGTAACCTCTCATTTCAATTATGGCGGAGACAACATATTTCATAATTTCACGCAATTTCCGGCTTGAATAAGAGGTACGCGTTCTAATATATAGTAACGTATTATTGCGATAGATTGATAGCTCAACGGGAAACAGAAAATGGCGTACGAAATTATGCGACAGAAACTTGAAAGAGCGACTGAACGGAAACTTTTTAAAGGCACTAAAGATAAAAATCGTAGAAGCGATCGCGGTATGGTGATGTGTTCCTGGTAGGTTTAGATTCTCTATGATAGATAGAGAGAATCGGTAATTCTTCCTAGTAGTTTAGATATCACTACAGTTGAATAGTTACAAAATGGTAATTTTGAATGACAATAACTTGACCGAATAGGCTGTATTAAATGCATTTTAGCTGCCGTGTTTCCTGTTTATTCGAGATACTAGTACCTAAATCATAATACCAGTCATTGTCTCTTCTACCTCCATGCTCAAGCTCTTTTTTCTCCTAGTTCAACAGTATCATGCCATGTAAAGAAAAAAACACAAGCATGACACTAAAATCGTTTTCAGTCACTAATTATTCAAGGGCACTGTTCCGTTCGACTCTGATCGACCTGAATCGAACTCTGGCAGATCTTGGCTCTTGTTCGGCTCCCGACCGTATGACGTTAATCCGTGGGAGGAGAAGTAGTTTGGCTCCGATAGAATGCTGCCGTGTGAACATAGTATATATGTTTCAAGATTAAC